TGTGTGTGTGTGTGTGTGTGTGTGTGTGTGTGTGTGTCTGTCACGGCCTGGTGTGGGACAGATGCACTGTTTTTCAGCACTGTGCTCATCATGCTCCTGTGGCCTGTAGAGTGAGGTGCACTGATGAGATTTTCTTCAATGAAATCCTGCAGGCGCTGCATCTGAGGCAGAACTGGAAAACCAACATGACAATAGCCACATTCTATTGGTTTTCATTATCATTTAAAAAAGCAAGTGACGGGTAAAAATTGATCATGACAGATTTTTTTACCCTGTCAGTCAAAATGACGGACAACAAAAACGTCTAGCACAACCTGTGCACCGGGTCAGACAGTGAAACGTAATAATCAGAGAATTATTTTTCATTTTTTCTGAAGTGTGGAACATGACGTGAATCCACAAAGCTGCCTGTCAATCTATGAACATATTTTGCTCAAACTCAAAGATAACTGCCTGACTGATCAGTCAGTAAACAGGTGGAACAGAGTTACCTGTGGCTGACAGCTGCAGGCTGAGGTAAAGGCAGAGAAGCCAGCTTTGTCCGCGGGGCGGGGGGACAGATGTCCAATAGTTACATCCGGAGGATGAGGCAACACGATAGCATTGACTTAATTCATCTATTTCCTTAAACATTTCAACAATATTTAACTGTRTAAAAATGGGTCACATTTGTAAAACATGCAGTTAGCCCTAGATTGTTTAGAGCTCTGGTTTGGAACATTAAAGTCATGTAATTCAWAAATAGTCAATGACAGCAAGTCTTGCAAAGACATTATAGAGACCAATCACCACCATGCATTTATCGTTAATTTTATTTCATTAAATTTATTTATTTTATTTTATGATGGCTTTGAGTGACACCCTTAAAAGTAGAACTAAATTATGCATAGATTATTATTATTGTTGTTGTTGTTGTTGTTGTTATTTAAAATGTTATTTAAGAAAGCCATTTGATTTGGGCGGGCCTATGCCCATCTAGGCCCACCCACAGCCACACCCCTGGTTGCATTATTGAATTTGTGGCATCAAATGTTCAACCTCTATTACAGTCCAAATCATAAATGTCTGGGCCTCCCTTCTGAAGCTGCTGCCCCCGCGACCCGAGCCCGGATAGGTGGAAGAAAATGGATGGATGGATGGATGGATGGATGGATGGATGGATGGATGGATGGATGGATGGATGGATGGATCATAAATGTTTAATTTGGTCCTGCAAATCTTACTGAAGGCAGACTAAAGTAGTCCAGAAGTGTCCTGTTCAGGAGTGAGATGAACACTTTAGTTCTCCTCAGAGCAGACAGACTTGTCCTGAATGAAACACTGTTGTCTGACTCTGAGTCCTGCTGGGAGCAGAGCTGATTATCCCTCAGAATCACAGTGTAAACTCACACATGCCTCTTGTATGCACTTGCTGATAGTTATTTATTGGCCAGCATTTCTGCTTGGATTAAAAGACCTAATTGTTCTCCTCATTTCACGTATATCAGTGGTAGTGGTTAAGTTAAAAATCAGTTTCTGTCGGCTGGCCCTTTTTTTTCTTGAGAGAAAAACAGGGGGGAACCCACAAACTAGATGTAAGAAAAAAAGCTGCACCATCTAAAATTTATAACTTTAAATGCAGAAAAGAAAAGAACAGAAAGCTGCATGACTAAAATGAATTAGGGTAAAAACAAGGTTCTCACCATAAGTTTTGGTACAAATCCAGGCTGTTGTCACACATACAGAATGTTTTGGACCATGTTGCAGACATCAAATTCAAAATGACCGAATATTTGCAAAAAAAAGTTTATTTGTTTGAACAAGAAGTATCTTGTCTATGTAGTGTATTTAATTGATTCTAGCTTTTTTTATGTCTTACACAACACCCCAACATCATTAGAATTGGAGTTGTAACCATTAAACTGTATTTGATGCTAACAAAAGAAAAGTTTTAATATTTGACTCATTCTGAGTCACATGCATGTCCCTGATGTTAGGCTGGAGTAAGGTTCTGCCTGGAAATGACCTGTTAGCATCGGCTCACCTGCAGCTGCAATGAAATATGCAGGAGCTTCTGAAACCCATCCTGCCACGAGCCTCCTGTGATGGRATGAATCACACAGAGACAGAGGAGCTAAATATAGTGCCAGTATTATACAAGCTGCTGTAGCGAAGAGAACCAGGAGTCAGAAGTTTGGTTTTTTGAAAGGTCTGTGCAGCCTCTGCAGCAACAGGTGACATCATAAAGCCCATGCTGCACAGGAGGAAGTAGTTATCTACAAATAGCTTTCATTGCTTCAACYCTGAACTTCTCTTTCACTTCCTTTTTCAGTCGGCTGTGAAAGCGACAGCAGCAATGTGCCTTTTAGTCTCAGTGGAAAACAATAGATTATAAAAACCAGTTTGCAGCTCTCAACCAGGAGAAGGTGGGTGTCACCACATGTGTGCTGCGCTTTAGGATAACAATATTTTAGATGTTCATGATCATCACACACGTGTTTCCTCTTCCTTTAATTAGCAGCTGTGTGACAGTGCAGCTGGAGCCTCATGACTGCTGCTGGAGATTAATGTGATATTAAAAKAAATACAGGCAGAAAATGGAATCATAGACATCCAGAATTAGATCTAGAGAAGAAGACCTGCAACTGCAGCTAAAAAAAACAAGTAGAATAAAAATATTAATTACTTCTGGAGGAGAGAACAGGGTCCAGGTTTGCACCAGGTGAGCAGCCAGGCTTTGATTTTTCTTGTGCACTGGGCTGCAAGAACATGTATACTGTGTGTGTGTGTGTGCGTGTGTGTGTGCGTGCGTGCGTGCGTGTGTGTGTGTGTGTGTGTGGTGTAAGAAAGAATCTTCTAACAAAGTTACCATAACGTCCTAGCTGCAGCTTATTGGGGTCAATGCCACAGAAATTGTTGGTAAAAAATGTCAGATTTAAAAAAAAAGTGTGAAGTTACCGTAAAACAAACGGCTCASACTTCCTCCATCTGCTTCCCTGCTGACTATACTAAAATGTTTCACTGTAAGTCAGTTATTATCTAACTTGGTAAAAGGTTTTTGACAGATTGTCAGTGCAAACATTCCTTTTTCYTACATGAAACAAATTAATTAAAAGAGAACATCAGTGTGCTTTATTTTGTAGTAAATCAAATAAAAATCCAAAGACATACTGAGACAAAGTGGCACGTAATGCTTTTCAGTTTCACATAAGGATAGCCTCCAGTTGGTCATCACAGTTGTAGCACGTTTTGTGTCTCTGGACACACTTTAGTAGTGATCCAAGGAGCACAAATGCCTCTTTTGTTTSAATAGGTTGCAGACTCCTGGTGTGCAGCAACATTTGTCTTTACTCATAAATAAAAAGAAAAGTATAAAAAATACATGTCCTGATGCATCTCAGTAATCCAGGTAAAAAATCAAAAAGAAAAAAATAGTATAGGTCCTCTGGAC